TTTCAGTCATCCGAATTTGAAGATGGAAGAAGCCTGCTTACCACGTCATGGCCGGCTTCTTGAAGGACATCAGCGATTGCGCCCATGAATTGCATATGAGAGAAACCTAATGGAGCAGAATAGACAAGGATTTTCAACGTTTGGGCGGTGTTGAATAGAGTATAGAAGATCAGCAGAGACCGCATCAGGTTCTACAATCCAGCACTTTTTTATTAGTGGTGTTATAAAATAAAATAACCGTTCAGTGGGTGGCTTAGAATAGACAAACAGTGAATTTTGGGAAGAATGTGACTTTTAGCTACACGAAGTGTTTAAGAATACTATGCTTATCAGTTGTCTGTTGAACTGTCTTTTCCAAACGTCCGTTGGACTTTATGCAGTGAAAAAATGAAAGCCATAATGGCTATTCCACTAGTGCTCAGAAGAAGCACGCCGTTATCGCTGAGAGTGGAAACTTCACTGTGAAGAAGTACATTTGAGTCAGCAGAAGAACGAAGTAGACTACAAAGTAATTCTGCAGTCCGAAAGAGTTCCTATAGCCCTCTGGAACCGTACGGGACGATAACCACGACTGCTGACATTTGTAAACGCATAATTTTCACCTTTTTACGCTGTAAAAGTCTTCGCCGTTGATCAATCCCTTTGTGGGATGCGGCACGCATTCTACTTCCATTCAGAATCGTAGTGGCTCATTGAATGCGATGTGGCCAGTGGCTCACTTCCGGGGGCCAGCCAATGTAGAAATCAGCGGTATTGTCCTCCAAAGCGAATCTATTGCCGATATATCGAGATGGAAGGGTAGAAAACTCGGTTGGCCTGGGTGGGAACGGTATTGATCTGCGGACTGTGTTCTTGGAAAGCGTGCCGCTTGCCACTACACCACCACCTCCGCCTCATCTTTTTATACAGAGAAGGCATATCTATGTTCTTTGAACGGCATGTTATTTACAGGCAGTGGCAAGAACCGAGGAAAGTCAACAACCAGTCAAACCTCTTTCCTTTTTTCTTGAAAGCAAATACAACCCCCCCCCTTCTCTTCAGCTTCAGCGATCAAATACGACCCATCGCCGGGGATGCGCAACGTACGATGTGCGCGACACCTTATTGAAAAAGGGCTTGAGGCTTCTTTCCTGCTTCTCCAAGTTTATCTCTAATAAATTGTTTCAAAGATGGCGATATGAAATCAGCGCAGACGGGAAGTTTGGTGACCAAGAATAAGCCAGCGTTCAGACTTCGCGACGGCAGCGCTTCGCTCGAGCGATCAACCGCTCCACGCGCTTCCGCTCCGATTCGATCGCTTCCAACACCACAATTGAGTGGACCGCTGCTTTCTTAAAGTCGTGTTCATTTGCTTTCTCTTCTTCTTTGTTTCTTTTCCGTCTATCTTTCAGCTCCTTTTCTGTCTCTGATCTTCCTTGCGCGAGTTATCGCGTTCTGCCTACAGTGCTGCCGTCGCGAAGTCTGGACGCTGCTCAAGGGATGATATCCTGCATTCCCACTGCCAAAAAAATGGTAAATTGACGTCATAGTCTGTAAAAGGTATTTTCACCCCTCCGTGAACAATCTTCAACAGTGACAGTTTTAGTACAAGCGCATTCCAGATAGACAAAACATGATACCTGCTGAACTTTTTCCAATAAACCCATTACTCTGAGCCCTATGGGGCTTCCACTCAGACTTGCACAGGTTTTTGAGGTCCCCAGGATATTTTACTCATAGTACAATGTCTATTCAAAGCTGACTATAGCTTATTTTAGTAATTCCTCACTTACCGGTACCCTACCTTATTTTCGGTTTAGATTGCTGATAAAATGTATTCCATTGCTCATAACTCAGCTATCACCGCCTAGGGAAAACGCCCACAGAAGTAGATGCTTTGGATGCAATTGTACTCTGTACTGTTGTATCAAAGCATCTACCTGCCTATTCTGCCCTCTTTTCATCGTTATCGCTGATTGCTTGATAGTGCACTGAGATTCCCACAACATTTTGTCTCCGATCACAAAACAGTTTGCCTAGAACGGTTTGAAATTGTCGATATCTTTAGTATGCGAGTAGGAGAGAAGGATCCTATGACGAAGCGAAGAAGCTGTGTGTGCTTAGGGGTCCGACGCAAGTCCTGGGAGTCCTAGTAGTTCCTTAGGTGATAGGCGAGGGGCAGGCACAAATGAACACTCTACCCGGACAGGCACGCCCCTGGCCCCACATATCGCCTTTTCATAATCCGTTTGTCAAGGCTGTCTTACCCCAAAGTTTCACTTGTAATTGTACACTCGCAATCAATACTCTTCAACAACTGCATCAACGATCCCCTGGGTTGCCCGTAGAAACGAGCCCTCGACGAGTCCGATATTTCTTAGCTAGTTGACGCGGTCTATGGCACACTTTCACGTCAAATCATCTAGGCGCCGGTAAAAATGACGGCGCGTGCAACGTCGTCGGAGACGTGTCAGAAGGCGTTGAATGAGCGCACCCGTGGCGTTTTCTACCATGGCTGTTATCCACATGAATCGGCCAGTGTTGGTAGAATAGGCGCAGGCGCAGCCGGGATCATTGCACGCCCCTGCGTTGAGTGACCACGCCCCTGAGTTGCAATTGCAACGTATCAACTAAAATATATGGCGTTGTTCGGCTTGGGAGGAGCGAACATTTCGCTTGCTCCTTTTGCTAGTTGCTGTCAACCGACAGGTCCCACTTTGGTGAAACCTGTTAATACTTGTGAAGCTGCAAAATGGTATAAGTGAGCCAATTCGTTTACAAGAACTCACAGGTCTTCACTAGGTAGCCTGTGCAGCTTCCCCGGGCACCATTTTCTGCCTCCACCAAACCGAACAGCGCCAACTACATTCGTTTGGCAGAATGCAAGCGCTGTCTGCAGCTCTGCTGGCCCCTACAACTTACTTTTGGCGCTGTCACTCTCAAAGAGTGACGACGCGAAAGCTTGATTCTCTCTTTTCTCACCAGT